TCAGGGGGTATTTATATCGATTACTATCCAATAACCGATTAACATCGATAGTAATCTCCTTGCAAATTTTGGTGATGTTAGTAAGTTTTTGAGTTATAAGCCAAGTCCTTAGGTGTGGAAATATTTTTGTTACCCCCCTGTATATGAATTCAAAAAGAATTACATTAAACAATAATGTACTTGAATTTAAAGATATGCTTTTTTTTTTTTACTTAGCTACCATTATTAAATCATACTTTCATTTTTTAATCATCAATAAATTGAATATTTTATATTTATTGTATGCATAATTTACAAGTTTTTATTGTATAATTTTGTATCTCTGCACTTATTTAAAAAAATTTAACTAATAATCATTCCCAACACTTTATTTTCCCAACAACTAATTTATAATATTTTATTTTTTTGACACTTCATTTTCTAACAGTAATTCCCCAACAATTATTATAGATGGGAAATAAGAATGTCAAGAAATAAAAGCGCTGAAGAAATAAAAGTATCAAGGAAGTGGCTATTGGGAAATAAAAATGTCAGTGAAAATTTTTTGGGTAAGCATTTGTTAAAGAAAATAATGTTGAAGAATGATAGAGAATCCTTCTCTGATATCACTCTTCACTATTTTTTCTTAACTCCACCTTTTCTCAATATTACTCTTTCCTGACACTACTTCAAAATTACCCCTTCCCAATACAAACACTATTCTTTCCTGATATCAGCTTTTTTCAACATTACTCTTTCCCAACACCACTCTTTCTAAACACCATTCTTTCCTTTCAGATACTTCCTGATATATTCTTCTAAACACTATTCTTTAATATTACCCTTTTTTGATATCTTTTTTTCAACATCACTCTTTCCCTTCCCTGATATTACCACTTCTTCAACACTACCACTTTCTTAACACTTTTTTAACAATTTTCTCTTCCTTCCTTAACATTTTTTTAACAATTTTCTCTTCCAATACACTACCACTTTTTCTAATTTATATTTAAATATTTGTTTAATAAAGAAAAAAAATTAAAAAAAAAAAATATTAGTTAAAAAAAACATTGTGGTTTGCAAAGAAATCAATGATTTCTGATTTCTAAATTTTTTTAAATTTTAATATATATAAAGAGAGAATTGCTATTTGTACTCCCGTTTTTACTATCTGTACTTCTTAGATATCAAAAAGTGCTTCAAAATAGATATTTTATCAAGTAAACCCTTTTTTTAATCTTAATAAAAGTTGTTCATTAGGCCTTTCCGATTCTAATGGTAGTAAATTTATTAAAATTGAACTAGTAGTTTTCAAGATATATATATTCAAAGTTAGTTAACTTTTTAAAAAAACTATTAGTTCGTTTTTAATAATTTTACTACTATTAGAACTAGAAAGAACTCTTTCTGATGATCATTTTTTCCAAATTTTTTCCAAAAACTTTTCTTAATAAATACATTATAACTAGTTGAAAAAGTGTTAAGTAAAATAAGTCGAGGAACTGCAGCATCTGTTATTTAGAGGTAGTTCTCATATGCTATCTGCTAACAGGCCTAGAGTTTATCACTTACTGTTGTAACAGGAGCACTTGACATTTAGAAGTAGTTCTCATACACTACTTGCTGACAAGTTTAGAGTTTATCACTCACTCTTTAACGTTCTTTAAGTACTCACCTTTTGCTCAGTCAACAAGTACCTGATATACTTGGCAAGAAAAGTATATATACTCCTTTGGTTTGGAACTAGTAGTTTTTTTTTTACCTTTACTGCCTCTTGCCAACCTCACCAAAATTTTCAACAAAAAGTAGGCAATCTAGCTTATCCTCTCCAAAAGATCAGCATTGTTTACACTTTCCATTTTTGGATAAACGAAGTAGAACATAAACACACAATTGTTTTGACAATAATATATTTATACTACGTGACAAACCAATCAGTGCTTTGATTAATAAACCGACTCAGACCGGACAGTAAAGTTAAAAGAGACTTAATGATAAGGCGAAGCTTTACAATAGAGATATACAAGATTTTAAATTTAGTATATAATTTTTACAACTGTGCCTGGCACGGGCTATAATAGTGTTTTCATAGATTGTTTTTTTTCTGCCTTTTTCTTCTTGTTTTATTTTTTTTCTTTTTGCTTATTTTCTTGTTGTTTAGGCAGTTTTTTTTCTTTCTCCCTTTCATATTGTTCCTTTTATCTTTAGTGTTAGTGTTTTTTTTTTATAATACTATGAATTCTTCTGCTCACAAAGCTAGGGGAAGAAGGTTTAGAAAAGATGGTAGTCTTGATAGGCTGTGAAAACTATTCGGTGATATATCGGAGAATTCACTTGCAAGGTTTTTTGACATTGAGATAAACTTTACTATAGCAGATCGAATATGGGTAATTTGGGCACTTTGTGTTGCAATGAACCGGGTTAGCCAAAACTTGTAACTTAGGTGGTGCTTTAGTTTACTTTAGCAAAAATAATATTTTACCTGTGAGTTAAATATTTTAGTCTAATAAAGTTAAGGCAAGA